AAATTACATGAATTTCTCTTTCAGATACGCATCATCTCCACTGTCTTTGTTGCCATAGGAGCAAAGCTTAATCTCAAGGAGAAAATATTTGTATCCCTTTCATGGATGGCTAAAGCTACAGTTCAGGTAAAGAATAGCTACAATTATCATCTTACACACATCAGCATTTCCATATTCTAGCAAATGGAAATGTTGTAAAATTCACATACTTTACACAAGTAAGCACTCTGTGCTTGCCTTCTGTCTCCGTACTGGACCCTTTTCTGGCGAGTTATTTTTATTTCTGACACAGTTCTGTGAAACTTTCACATTAGTACCATCTTTGTTAGCCTCACAATAGTGCAGTGGATGACTAGCGTGCGGAATTCTGACCTGCTATTTCTAATTTCGGATTCGGTCTTCCAGTACGTAAATTATGGTGAGCGGTGCACTATTCTGAACCATTATTGGCAAACAATCTTACTTATCATAATGCTGTTTGTAAATCAGTTTTAATCGTTATTACACCAAGCTTAAATCATTTCGACAGATGTTCGTAGCCTGATTTATATGAGGCATCTGATTGATAAAAACACAGTTTATTGAGCCACCACACAGCTAAATGCTGTTGGCTGGAACCAGTAGTGTCTCTGTGACTTCCTTTCTAGGATGCTGTAACGCACAAATTCCACTCAAAGTACGGCTGAGACTGAAACAAAATAAGAAAATGAATGTGGTTTGTGCAGGCAGCTCTAGGTCCTGTAGCACTGGACTCCGTGCGTGATCTGAACAGGCCCGAGGAGGAGAGAGATTTTGCCGAGCGCGTGCTGGTGATCTGCGTGCTCTCTATCCTGCTAACGGCACCCGTTGGAGCCATCCTCATCACCCTGTCTGGTCCACGCCTTCTCAAGAAGACCACGACGCCCGTCATCGTTGAAGGCTGGCGACGCAGCGCTCGGCCCTCTCTCAGGGACATATCCATCATCGACGAAGATGACAACGGAGAGACCACGTAGTACAACCGAACAATGGCAGTGCACCACTCTTGCCAATAAGAATAATATTCTGGAAATTATGATGCAGAATGTACTGAGTCACATTCAATTATCTCTTACTGCAGCTGCCAAATACACAAAGTGTCGCCAGACTGCAAAGAAGTGGAAACTGAAAGTGCCCATAAGTTTCCATTTTGGTTTTTCAGTACCAAACTGAGGGTGACTTATGAATATCAGTATGTCCTTTAGGCTTATATATTTATGTAGTGTCCATGTTTCTGCTGGTCCAGAACAGACTTGATTTCAACTCTGAAGTGCCCGGGTATGTACAAACAGAAGTTTATGTTACTGATACTGATGATGAGTCCGTCACGTTATCGATGTTACCGAAAAATCGGTCCAGTGGTCAGAAGTCTGAAAAATCCAAAAAGGTATTTTGTGGAATGTAAACATGCCTCCCGCAATAAATGGGAAGCATTTTCTTCTAGTACTCCGGAAAATTTAAAATTTTCATCATATGAAGAACACAGATTTGAAGAGGACAGAGTAAAAGTCTTATTTCCTGCTGTATTTAACAATCCTTTCAGTTTAGAATGATAGGATGACAGTAAACTGGAAAGGAAGATTTTATCCTGACATTTGCGTACATGAACTGGGGTAAACCACTAAAATCTCCAAGTATCTGACCAATGAGCCAGGATTTGAACCCAAGACTTTCAAAATATGAAACAGAGTTCTAAGCACTTGATTATGTTGGAAGGATGCAAGAAGGGACTTCAATCACGGTCCAAAATGTTTTTTAAAGCTGGATGTGTAGGAATGCTGTCCTACTCTACAATTCAGAGTTAGACCTAACATATTTGAACCTTCGCATGAAATTAGTGGTACCTCACAGTACTACAACATGCAGGTATGAAATGAGGTTAAATACCTCAGCATTTGAAAGACAAACCTCCATCTTACAGGTATTACAGCTTTCAAATCCATTGTATGTTATCTCTGTCTAGAAATGCAACCGATCGCAATTTGACAGAGCGATGTATGTAAATTTCTGATCACTACATGTAATTCTAATGCGTTATGTACGGAAAGATAATGGTTCTACTTTATGTTTTAATGATCTTCAGTTGTGAAAATTAATTAATATTGTAACAGAAACTGTAATTTTTCTTATCATACAGATTTATATTGTACTTTCAATGTAATGATATATTCAATATTTATCTAAGTCAGTGGATTTCAAAGATTATCGCTTATACAACGATAATGATTATAGAACAAAAATATGCATTATAAATAATAAGAGCGGGAGT